GCCACTCCCCGACATCTGGGGTAACAGACAAAGATGGGAAGCTGTATTCGCCCTCTTCACTCCACTGCTCACACAGATTCTCAATGTTTAGAAATGTCACAAGTTTTACTGGAAGTGCAGCAAAGACTTCCTCCACCACTCTTTCAACCACCCGGCTGGAGGTGATATTGGTCCTTTCTTTGAGGGCGTCCAGGGTCAGTCTTACCAGGTGACCCAGTTTTGTGCAGCCTGCCTCTCTGAAACTGGCCCGGAGACTGGCTGACTGCAAAGTTGGAGTCCTTATGAAATCATTAAAAAATAACGGTTCCTCAAAGATCCACATTCCCGACTCTCAGTTTTTTCCCTTTTGAATGTGTACATTTTCCATGCCTGCATTACAGACATATAAAAGGATGTTAATCCAGTGAGATCCACCTCCTCAAGCTTTAACAGAAAGAGCTGCTTAGTGTACCCCAGCCGTCCAGCTCTCCTCAGCAGCAGTCGAGCGATGTCCATCCAGCTGGGACCACAAGTGAAAAGGAGTCTCTGTGCAGTCTGGAGTCTGAATGAGGCAATTTTTGACTGAATGTCTATAAGTCCATGTCCCCCTTCAGCCACCGGCAGGTAGAGGACTGCCGCCTGGACCCAGTGTTTGCCTGACCAGAAGAAGTCCAGGATGGCCCTTTGAATGTCCTCCACCAGCCCTCTTGGAGGTGTCAAAGCCACAAGTCTGTGCCAGAGAGTCGAGGCAACCAAGTTATTGACCACCAGAACTCTTCCCCTATACGACAACTGGGGTAGCAACCATTTCCATTTAGACAACCGAGCGCACACTTTCTCCCTAACTCCCTCCCAGTTTTTACTTTTAAAGCCCTCGGTACCCAAATAAACCCCCAACACCTTCAACCCTCCCTCCCACTCAAGTCCACCCGGCAGACTGGGCACTGCCTGGTCCCCCACTCTCCACCAATAAGGCACCACTTTTTTCCCAGTTCACCCGTGCAGCTGTTGCCCTTTCATACAGGGACAGGGTGTCCCGCAGACACCGAACGTCCCCTGATTGGAGATGAAGATGTTTACATCATCAGCATAGGCAGAAATTGTAGGGGGACATTCAATGCTACAGGCCGCGGGCAAAGAAAGCCCGCTGAGCCGGTCCCTCAACCTGCACAGCAAGGGCTCAATAGCCAAGCTGTACAGCTGGCCGGAGATGGGACAACCTTGTCTGATCCCTCGCCGTACAGGGATTGGCCGACTCAACCCCGCCCCCATCTTCACCAAACACTGTGCATCCTGATACACACAACCAACTAATGACACAAAACCATCCCCAAAACCAAAAGACCTCAGTGCAGAAAACAAATACGAGTGATCCACCCTGTCAAACGCCTTCTCTTGATCCAGAGACACAATGCCAACATTTAGATTATAGATTTTACACACATCAATGACATCTCTGATAAGAAAAACATTATCCATGATTGTCCGGTCTGGAACACAGTAACTCTGGTCTTTATGGACCACACTTCCCAGAACGTCCTTTAGTCTGTTCGATAAAGCTCTGGAGAGGATCTTGTAGTCCGCACAAAGCAAAGCAACCGGCCTCCAGTTTTTTAACAATGCCAGGTCACCTTTCTTGGGGAGCAAGGAAAGAACTGCTCTCTTACAAGAACCAGGAAGAGACCCGGTCCTGCAACACTCCATTAAAACACTATGCAGGTCAGACCCAAGGATATTCCAGAACCTCTTAAAAAAGTCTGTGGACAACCCATCTATTCCAGGTGCTCTTCCTGTTGCCATCTGAGTGACAGCAGCAGTGAGCTCCTCCAGAGACAGCTCCCCTTCCAGAAGAGACCTCTCCTCCACACTGAGCTGAGGGAGACCCTCCAGGAGCTCCCTGCGACACTCCTGGCTGCAACTCTCTGCTCCAAACAGATCCTCATAGAACTGCATGGCGTGACTGCTCATTTCCTTTGGATCAGCTGTTATTCGACCTCCTGGCAGTTTCAGACAAGTCAGCAGCTTTTTTTGAGCCACAGATCTCTCAAGATTGAAAAAGAAAGACGTTGGGGCATCCATGTCTTTGAGTTGAAGGAAACGACTCCGCACAAGAGCTCCCTTCACCCTCTCCTGCAGGAAAGAGCTCAACTCCATACGTTTCTCCTTCAGCAGGGTACCAGCGGTGGGATCCACACTCCCATTTAACCCCTCCTCAAGGTTCTTAATGTTGTCCTCAAGATTTTTAATGACTGTTTTTAATCTAGCAGAAGAGTGTGACGTGTACTGCTGACAAAAAACACGAATCTGAGCTTTACCAACCTCCCACCAAAGCTTCAAAGAATCAAACTCAACTTTTCTTAATTGCCACTGATCCCAAAAACACCCAAAGTTTTTACAGAAAACATTGTCCAGTAGAAGCTTGTTATTAAAATGCCAGAAGGACTTAGCCCTTTCACCTGGTGAAATAATCAGCTCCACACTAACAAAATGGTGATCAGTGAAGCCGACAGGCAGAATATTACAATGAATTAATCTGGGGTTGAGAGTTCTGGAGATGTAAACCCTGTCCAGTCTAGCTGCACACACCCTGTTACTGTTAACCCTGACCCATGTATACTGTCTGGATTGTGGATGTTTCACTCTAAATGTGTCCAACAAATCCAGGTGAGAGATGACAGTGTTTAAAGTCTGGGATGAATGTGGATGTGGCTCCTCTCCTATTCTATCCACGGTGAAATCAAGTGTGCAGTTAAAATCACCACCAAGAATGATCTGATCCTGATTATAGATCAGTAACTCCTTTTGGAGGCGGGTATAGAAAGCTACCCTTTCAGCTCCATTATTTGGAGCATAAATATTAGTGAAGCAGAAAACAGTGTCCTCTATTTCTGCTCTTACAATTAAAAGCCTTCCCTTTACAATTTCAGCACAAGAGACGATCTTTACATTTGCAGATGCTCTAAACAAAATGGCTACTCCTGCACTAAAGTTGGTGCCATGGCTAAGGTAGTTAGAGCCCTCCCACCATAAACCCCAATCTGTCTCATCTGATGGTGTGGTATGAGTCTCTTGTAAAAACAAGATATCAATGTTTTTCTGAGTTGAGATCTCAGAGATAAGGCCCCTTTTCTGTCTGTCTCTCCCACCATTAATGTTAAGAGATCCTATCTTAAGACTCCTCATAGAAAGATCAGAGAGAAAGAACAGACAAGTAGACACAAACAGGGAACAGTAGAAGAAAACACCTTGTGATGCATGATCATTTCTTTGTCTTCTTCACACTCTTACGTCCAACTTTCCTCAGTGCGGTGATGTGCTTTTTAAGACGGAACGTTTTTTCGCGTCCAGGAGGTCAAACCCAACCTGTCTTTTCAGTATGCTGACTGACTTTATGAACTTTTCAGTATCACTAAAGTAGTCACTGATTTTTACTGATTTGTTGTACGTTTCATCCATAAATTGATTGATTGACTCTAAAGAATAAAGACCAGAGCCACTATTTGGCAAATCAGCAATGGATGCATTGTCTGACTCATAATCTTCATCCATGTCCTCTCCTTCACATGATGCCTGGCTACAACACACTGTCTTACCTTCCTTCAATGAAACATCTACAACTGCAGAACTTGTGGAATCTTCAGTTTTATCATTATCTACAGTCTGTGATTTTTCTGTAGCCTGAGAGCTGGTCGAAGCCACTTCTACCTCAGCCACGGCCTCAGCACAAGGCGCAGGCGCGGACGCGGCCTCTGCCCCGGGCACGGACGCGGACGCGGCCCCCGCCCCGGGCACGGACGCGGACGCGGCCCCCGCCCCGGGCACGGACGCGGCCCCCGCCCCGGGCACGGACGCGGACGCGGCCCCCGCCACATGCGCCACACTAACAGAGCTGCCCGCGTCAGCGGCAGCACTAGCCGCCTCCTGCTGTCTGTGCGGACACGCAAAACGTTTGTGTCCCACATCACCACACTCAAAACACTTCAGTTGTCCCGAGCTCGCATACACCATATAAGAAGCGTCACCGTGTTTCACTCTAAAGGAAACCTCCAGAGTCTGTGTGGGCGAATCCAAAAACATGAACACCTGACGCCGCAAAGATTGAACATGTTTCAGTTTGGGATCTTTACACCCTAGACTCACAGTTTTGAAACCACTCGCAAACTTCCCAAACCTGCGGAGTTCGTTCTCTAACAAGTCGTTAGAAATAAACGGCGGAACACCGGATACGGTGATCCGCGTAGAGGGAACCGACAACGGGGAAACCTGCACAAACAAATCCCTAATGAACACACCACTCTCAATCAGCTCATGGCCTACCTGTTCACCTGCAGCTAACAAAACCTCCTCCACGGTGACAGTACCGTTCGGAGGGACTATCCGAACTCCCTGTCGGAGAGTCGGAGGTGGCGTCTCAGCAGACGCCATTCCTCCCTCCAACCCCTCCAACGATCTGTCTTACACAGCCAACAACACTCAATACAAATATGAAAACCATCTGACCTGATCATGCACTTTGAAAACAGTAGAAAGGATAGCAAACAATTCAATCTCCGCGCCACTCGCAACACCACCACCGTCACTCACACTCACACTCACACTCACCGGAAACCGGAAACGGAGAGGAGAGGAGAGGAGAGGAGAGGGGAAAGGAGAGGAGAGGAAGAGGAGAGGAGGGGAGAGAGGAGAGGAGGAGAGGAGAGGAGAGGAGAGGGAGAAGAGGTGGAGAGGAGGAGAGGGGAGGGAGGGAGGAGAGGAGAGGAGGGGAGAGAAGGAGAGGAGAGGAGAGGGGAGGAGGAGAGGAGGAGAGGGGAGGAGGAGAGGAGAGGAGAGGAGGAGAGGAGGAGAGGGGAGGGAGGAGAGGAAAGGAGGAGAGGGGAGGGAGGAGAGGAGAGGAGAGGAGAGGAGGAGAGGAGAGGAGAGGAGAGGTGGAGAGGGGAGGAGGAAAGGAAAGGAGGAGGAGAGGTGGAGAGGAGGAGAATGTGGGAGTTGTCTCATAGGGTTGTGCAAGAGGAGGAGCCTAACATGTGATGTCATCATGTAAATGCACAGACAGGATGTGATGTCACTGACCTGGACTGGGAGATGACAGGTAGCATCACACCTTCGTGTTCTGAAACAGAAAAAGAGACCAGCTGACTGCAGTGAACAGCCCTGATAGGACCAAACAAATGATGATGTCATAGCGAGGGTGCAAACTCACGCTCCCATTGGTTAGAGATGCTGTGGTCTGGTCTGGCTCTGGACAGGATCCCTTTCCCGAAATAACCCTGAAACAAGACATAAGGAGGACCTAGATTAACTCAGACCCGGTTTAAGAGGACCTAGATTAACTCAGATCTGGTTTAAGAGGACCTAGATTAACTCAGACCCGGTTTAAGAGGACCTAGATTAACTCAGACCCGGTTTAAGAGGACCTAGATTAACTCAGACCCGGTTTAAGAGGACCTAGATTAACTCAGACCCGGTTTAAGAGGACCTAGATTAACTCAGACCCGGTTTAGGAGGACCTAGATTAACTCAGACCCGGTTTAAGAGGACCTAGATTAAGTCAGACCTGGTTTAAGAGGACCTAGATTAACTCAGACCCGGTTTAGGAGGACATAGATTAACTCAGACCAGGTTTAAGAGGACCTAGATTAACTCAGACCTGGTTTAAGAGGACCTAGATTAACTCAGACCCGGTTTAAGAGGACCTAGATTAACTCAGACCTGGTTTAAGAGGACCTAGATTAACTCAGACCCGGTTTAGGAGGACCTAGATTAACTCAGACCCGGTTTAAGAGGACCTAGATTAACTCAGACCTGGTTTAAGAGGACCTAGATTAACTCAGACCCGGTTTAAGAGGACCTAGATTAACTCAGACCCGGTTTAAGAGGACCTAGATTAACTCAGACCCAGTTTAAGAGGACCTAGATTAACTCAGACCCAGTTTAAGAGGACCTAGATTAACTCAGACCCGGTTTAGGAGGACCTAGATTAACTCAGACCTGGTTTAAGAGGACCTAGATTAACTCAGACCCGGTTTAAGAGGACCTAGATTAACTCAGACCCGGTTTAGGAGGACCTAGATTAACTCAGACCCGGTTTAAGAGGACCTAGATTAACTCAGACCCGGTTTAAGAGGACCTAGATTAACTCAGATCCGGTTTAAGAGGACCTAGATTAACTCAGACCTGGTTTAAGAAGACCTAGATTAACTCAGACCCGGTTTAGGAGGACAAAGATTAACTCAGACCCGGTTTAAGAGGACCTAGATTAAGTCAGACCTGGTTTAAGAAGACCTAGATTAACTCAGACCTGGTTTAGGAGGACAAAGATTAACTCAGACCCGGTTTAAGAGGACCTAGATTAACTCAGACTCGGTTTAAGAGGACCTAGATTAACTCAGACCCGGTTTAGGAGGACAAGATTAACTCAGACCGGTTTAAGAGGACCTAGATTAACTCAGACCGGTTTAAGAGGACCTAGATTAACTCAGACCCGGTTTAAGAGGACCTAGATTAACTCAGACCCGGTTTAAGAGGACCTAGATTAACTCAGACCGGTTTAAGAGGACCTAGATTAACTCAGACCCGGTTTAAGAGGACCTAGATTAACTCAGACCCGGTTTAAGAGGACCTAGATTAACTCAGACCCGGTTTAAGAGGACCTAGATTAACTCAGACCCGGTTTAAGAGGACCTAGATTAACTCAGACCCGGTTTAAGAGGACCTAGATTAACTCAGACCCGGTTTAAGAGGACCTAGATTAACTCAGACCCGGTTTAAGAGGACCTAGATTAACTCAGACCCGGTTTAAGAGGACCTAGATTAACTCAGACCCGGTTTAAGAGGACCTAGATTAACTCAGACCCGGTTTAAGAGGACCTAGATTAACTCAGACCGGTTTAGAGGACAGATTAACTCAGACCCGGTTTAAGAGGACCTAGATTAACTCAGACCCGGTTTAAGAGGACCTAGATTAACTCAGACCCGGTTTAAGAGGACCTAGATTAACTCAGACCCGGTTTAAGAGGACCTAGATTAACTCAGACCCGGTTTAAGAGGACCTAGATTAACTCAGACCCGGTTTAAGAGGACCTAGATTAACTCAGACCCGGTTTAGGAGGACAGATTAACTCAGACCCGGTTTAAGAGGACCTAGATTAACTCAGACCCGGTTTAAGAGGACCTAGATTAACTCAGACCCGGTTTAGGAGGACCTAGATTAACTCAGACCCGGTTTAAGAGGACCTAGATTAACTCAGACCCGGTTTAGGAGGACATATTGATATGGATCAACTCGGACCTGGTTGTGGATCTTCTGGATGTGGTCCTGATGACAGACCAGCACGTGTTGGTTGATGAGCTCCGCCCGGAAGTCGCTCCTCTCCTCCGGACTGCGGCTCACCGGCAGCGGAGCCTCGTAGTCCTCATAGACCCGGGGTCGTCTCCGAGGAGCCCGGAACTCCGCCTGCATACCTCCGGGACCGGCTGGGACCGAACCAGACCGGGTCGGAGGTCTGTCAGTCAGAGACGCTGCTGTTAGCTTTAAGGGATATTAGCATGTTAGCATGTAGACTTTTTAACAGACACGCTTTTCTAAAACGTGTTGATTTCATTCATTCAGAAAAACCTCCAGTCGGATTTGTTTTGCTGTCGGACGCTGCGGTGCAACACTAATATGTGTCCGGCGTCTCTTCTCGGCTTCACGTATTCCGCCTTCAGATCTGACCACGCCCCTTCTCCTCTTTCTTTCTCTGACGAAACGAACTGGTCTATGATGTGCGCCCCCTACTGGTGCGGAGTGTGGTCAGGATTTATAATGTATCTTATAGGCTTATTACTTACTAAGTCCCAATAAGAACAAAAACTAAAGTGTGCACGACATAATATCCTGTGTTAGTTCATAAATCAGCTGTTTTCTCTCTACCTCATATTTCTGACGGTGTAGAAAAAACATGTCCCACTGTTCTTCATGTCCACATTCATATCTGCCTGTTTTATGTTTAGCTACTCGACGATCTGTTTAGTCCAGTATGGGGGGATGTTTCTGGATTTCTTGAGATGTCTTTGCAGTTGACCTTCAGGGCCACCATACCTTTCCCTGTGGTGCAGGAGCCTCATTTGTCAACAGAGCTGTCAATCATGAAGTTACATTCACTCTTTGTGACTTACCGTCCACTAACAAGCTAACATCACGACACACTCTGTTTTTATGTCTTTATTATTACAGGTTTCTATATCACATAAATTATTTTGTTCATCCTGATACATAAATACATTTTTAGTTTATTATGAATGAAGGAAATAAATTACAAATAGAAGAGGACAGAGAAAGAAGTCAGAGGGGAAAACAAGGTGGGGGGGTCCTCAGTACTCTTAATTTAAATGACTGTATTTACATTTTAATATTTCACTCGATATATTTCCTTTACTCGTTAACTCAGGCTGGTGAAGAAATGGAGGAGTATTTTTACTTTATACTTTAACCCTGGTTGCATCTGCTAACATTAAGGAGGCGGGGCTTAGGACCTATGCCGCAGCCAGTCAGCAGGGGGAGCTCTTAATATTTTGGCTTCACTCCCAGGCGGCTGTAGCTCAGTCCATCTTATCTAGTCTATGCTAAATATCCAAAACACGCTGTTACCATGACAACTGGTCAGCAGAACTAGAGAATGAGGACACTCGTTTCTTGAAACAGAAATGATTGTAAATAAGCCTGTCTCACTGACACTGGTTTAACTGGGAACAGGTGTGTCCTCCTGTCTGTCCTCCTGTCTGTCCACCTGTCTGTCCACCATGTAGTACTGGTGTCTCTGGATGTGCTCGTACAGCGTGTTGTATTTGGAGACCCTCCTCATCCTCGGCAGGATGAAGCTGTGAGTGAAGGTCTCTCTGCTCAGGGAGCTCCGCCCCTCCGCTGCCAGGACGCTGTTCACGAACTGAAGACAGAAACTGAAGCAGTTATGGTCCTCCTCGTTGAACCTGAGAGACAGACAGGTGGGCAGGTAAGAGAGAGACAGGTGGGCAGTAAGAGAGAGAGAGAAACAGATGGGCAGGTAAGAGAGAGAGACAGGTGGGCATGTAAGAGAGAGAGAGAAACAGATAGGGCAGGTAAGAGAGAGAGACAGGTGGGCATGTAAGAGAGAGAGAGAAACAGGTGGGCAGGTAAGAGAGAGACAGGTGGGCAGGTAAGAGAGAGAGAGAGACAGGTGGGCAGGTAAGAGAGAGAGAGAGAGAGAGAGACAGGTGGGCAGGTAAGAGAGAGACAGGTGGGCAGGTAAGAGAGAGGGAGACAGGTGGGCAGGTAAGAGAGGGAGACAGGTGGGCAGGTAAGAGAGAGAGAGAGACAGGTGGGCAGGTAAGAGAGAGAGACAGGTGGGCAGGTAAGAGTGGGCAGGTGTGCTCGGTGTATCCGAGGCAACTGTAACATTTTCCTATTCCAGGTGTGAGGTGTACCTGTGTGAGGTGTGAGGTGTACCTGTGTGAGGTGTACCTGCGTAAAGTGTGAGGTGTACCTGCGTAAGGTGTGAGGTGTACCTGTGTGAGGTGTGAGGTGTACCTGTGTGAGGTGTGAGGTGTACCTGTGTAAGGTGTGAGGTGTACCTGTGTAAGGTGTGAGGTGTACCTGTGTGAGGTGTACCTGTGTAAGGTGTGTGTGTACCTGTGTAAGGTGTGAGGTATACTTGTGTAAGGTTTGAGGTGTGAGGTGTACCTGTGTAAGGTGTGAGGTGTACCTGTGTAAGGTGTGAGGTGTACCTGTGTGAGGTGTGAGGTGTACCTGTGTAAGGTGTACCTGTGTAAGGTGTGAGGTGTACCTGTGTGAGGTGTGAGGTGTACCTGTGTAAGGTGTACCTGTGTAAGGTGTGAGGTATACTTGTGTAAGGTTTGAGGTGTGAGGTGTACCTGTGTAAGGTGTGAGGTGTACCTGTGTAAGGTGTGAGGTGTACCTGTGTAAGGTGTGAGGTGTACCTGTGTAAGGTGTGAGGTGTACCTGTGTAAGGTGTGAGGTGTACCTGTGTAATGTGTGAGGTGTACCTGTGTCAGGCTGGAGGTGTACCTGTGTAATGTGTGAGGTGTACTTGTGTAAGGTGTGAGGTGTACCTGTGTAATGTGTGAGGTGTACCTGTGTAATGTGTGAGGTGTACCTGTGTAAGGTGTGAGGTGTACCTGTGTAAGGTGTACCTGTGTAAGGTGTGAGGTGTACCTGTGTAATGTGTGAGGTGTACCTGTGTCAGGCTGGCGGTGTACCTGTGTAAGGTGTGAGGTGTACCTGTGTAAGGTGTGAGGTGTACCTGTGTCAGGCTGGCGGTGTACCTGTGTAAGGTGTGAGGTGTACCTGTGTAATGTGTGAGGTGTACTGTGTAAGGTGTGAGGTGTACCTGTGTAAGGTGTGAGGTGTACCTGTGTCAGGCTGGCGGTGTACCTGTGTAAGGTGTGAGGTGTACCTGTGTAAGGTGTGAGGTGTACCTGTGTGAGGTGTGAGGTGTACCTGTGTAATGTGTGAGGTGTACCTGTGTAAGGTGTGAGGTGTACCTGTGTAAGGTGTGAGGTGTACCTGTGTAATGTGTGAGGTGTACCTGTGCCAGGCCGGGTCCCACATTGGTCCATCAGAGAATCGGTCCAGGTACCGATCCCACTGAGCCAGCAGGTGGAACATGTCGGGTCGAACCATAGGAACACTGACACAGCGCTCCCACCCACTCTGCTCCCTACGAACCCCCCCATGAGTGTAGTTATACACAACCCCTACACACACACACACACACACACACACACACACACACACACAGAGACACACACACACACACACATATACACACACACACACACACACACACAGAGACACACACACACACACACACACACACACACAAACACACACACAGAGACACACACACACACACACACACACACACACACACACAACACACACACACACACAACACACACACAGAGACACACACACACACACACACACACACACACACACACACACAAACACACACACAGAGACACACACACACACACATATACAGAGACACACACACACACACACACAGAGACACACACACACACACACACACACACACACACACACATTAGCATAATTAGGCTACATGAGCTAGTTAGCAGTAAACAGAGTCCAGGTGAGTCTCACCTGTAGTGTTGGAGATGCCCGTGTGCAGATCTGATGTCCCGTCAAAGTCTCTGAGGACAAACACAGTGTGTATAAAAATGTGTGTATTTACCTGATGAACACCTGTGTGTACACCTGGTGGTTGTCATGTGTGTGTCTCTGTTTGTCTGCATGTTTACCTGCTGATGTTGTCGTGTGCAGGTGCGACCAGCAGGCAGCAGGAGGTCTTGTGTCCGTTGGTAAAGGGGGAGGGGAGGCTGACCGGCGCCTCCTGCAGTCTGCTCCCCTTCAGTTCCTCCCCACAGCTGGGACACTCGTCCGGGACGGAGAAACAGAAGATCTCCTTCTGACAGTGACTCAGCCGGATCACACTCCTGTCCATCTCCTCCTCGCCTCCTTTGACTCCTCGCCTCCTTTAACTCCTCACCTCCTTTAACTCCTCGCCTCCTTTATTAACTCCTCGTCTCCTGTATTCACTCCTCGCCTCCTGTATCAACTCCTTGAATCCTGTATTCACTCCTCGTCTCCTTTATTAACTCCTCGCCTCCTTTAACTCCTCGCCTCCTGTATTAACTCCTCGCCTCCTTTAACTCTTGCCTCCTGTATCAACTCCTTGCCTCCTGTATTAACTCCTCGCCTCCTTTAACTCCTCGCCTCCTGTATTAATTCCTCGCCTCCTTTAACTACTTGCCTCCTTTAACTCCTCGCCTCCTGTATTAACTCCTTGTCTCCTGTATTAACTCCTCGCCTCCTCGCCTCCTTTAACTCCTTGCCTCCTGTATTAACTCCTCGTCTCCTGTATTAACTCCTCGCCTCCTTTAACTCCTCGCCTCCTTTAACTCCTCGTCTCTTGTATTAACTCCTCGCCTCCTCGCCTCCTTTAACTCCTCGCCTCCTTTAACTCCTCGCCTCCTGTATTCTCTCCTCTTGTCCTCCTTGAACTCTTGTTTTTACTCCTCCAGCCCTTTTTTTTAACGTCTGGTGACACCTCGTCTTACTGTTACTCCTTTTATTGCTCCTCTTCCTCCTCTACTCCTCCTTCACCTCTGATTTTACTCCTCCAGTCCCCCTTTTTATCGTTCTGTCGATCCTGTTTCAACTCGTTGTTTCTACTTTGCAGTCCTCCTTTCCGACCTCCAGTCTTTGTTTCTCTTCTTTGTGTTGCTCCTCGTCCTCCTTGTTCCTTCACACCAGCTTTGTTCTCCTTCTACTTCCTCACGCTCTCTGTTACATTTCTGCACCTTTGACTTCTCAGCTCCTTCTTTCACTCCTGTTTTCTCTCCTCCGGTCGTTCTGTAACTCGGAGCTCCTTTACTTTCAGCCCCTTAGTACTTCTTTTACTCCTCAAATCTTCTGCTCCTCCCGTCCTCTCGCTCCTCACTAACTTGCTTTCTTCTTCTCCCCTCCTCCTTTCCGTCTTTCCGTTGTCTTTTTTCTTCTTCTCCCCTCCTTATCTTCACACCTGGTTGCTATGTGACAGCCTATACAATGACTTCACTATGCAGCTCCGGCCTATCGTGTTGCAGGTGCCGCCTGACAGACAGACATGTGACCCAGGCTCACCTGTTCCT